AAAAAAAAAAAAAAAAAAAAAAAAAAAAAAAAAAGTATCTGCAAATATAGATTACAGTCGACATCAACTGTATCTTCCTCTGTCCCTCATATGGATGCAACAGCAGGGAAAGCATCCAGCAGCTTTCATCTAAAAATTGTGAAGCGCACTATGAAATATAAACCTAGAAGCACTTCTCTGCTTTTCTCTTATAGCCAAGGAGTCACCTGTAAACAAGTCCTCAAAATTCATGACTCGGGAAACATTTCGCCTGATATTGTGGGCAGCGGGCTCAACTGGGGAATCTCAAAAGAGTCGGATTAATTTTAGTTTGGCAGATACAGGCTTTAATCCCATCAAACGGTTGGGTCAATTCTCCCAGTGATGTTAATGGAATACCGGAGAATTCCATTCAGTTTAGCGAAGCTGAAGCCTGTGCTGGATAAAATACAGACGGATCTATAAACCCGCTCGTTCCTCAAGGTTAGAGCCTGCAAGGCTGCCCAGCCGTGCCGCTGCTGATCTGCAAAAGCCCCCAGAACACAGGTTTAATTTATACAGGGTGTTTCGGGGGTAGGTATGTACAGAATGTGAACATGGCGCAACTGTATTTTCTTGCACTAATTTAATCTAGCTAGCGTGCACGAGAAAAGAACAAACACGCAGTTTACGTTCCTGGTTTTAGCAGAGGACCCCCGAGCTTACTATCCTGTCGAGGGTAACAGTGTCTTCAGGCTGCTTCAGAAGGATGAGTAAGAAACCCTCGGTAGGAAAATTAGTCTGTTCATTTAACCATTCTGCTCTTAAACTTCCTTTCTTGTTCGTACGTCCACGTGAAATTATTTTATAGAGGAGTGGACTGTAATACATCCAAACTACTTTTCCGATGTACTTTTTATTTATTCCTGTTTTATTACATCCAAACTACTTCTCGGCTGTACTACACATTTCACAGTGCAAAGGCCCTTTGCTTAGTGTTTGAAAGCAATTGGGTAATCCGGGAAAAAATAATCCCAACTCACAGAGTCTTCAGACAAAGCACCTTTGGGGGGGTGGAAAGTCAGATCATGCAGTGTTAAAAATCACTTGTAAATGCAGAGAAACTTTCTACATACTCTATACAAGTTAGTGTCTTTCTTGTCCTTTCTATCAACTATTTTAAGCCATTTTATCTGTGCTGGCATCAGTTGTTGCTAACCATAGTAATCGCCTTTTACAGGAAAATAAAAAGGCTTCGTGAGATTATGTAAAGTCAACCAAGAATAGAAACGAATATAAATACCAAGGAATATATCAGCTGTTAACATTCAAGACAAGACGTAATCTTTGGGAATCGACAATGTTTAGATGTCTTTCGCAGGCGTTCATCCATTGTGTAAGAACTAAACTGATCAGTTTAGACAGACGTGGGGAGAGGATTTCAAGAGAGGCTGGTGCAGCACCGACGGCTTTCTGAGGAGATGGTCAGCACTACCACAGCCAGGGCCTGGCTTAACCATGTAGACTGAAATCTCTCCTCTTGTCCTTGGCACTACAGCAAAACCGAGACTGGGTCTTTCTGTTGGTTTCTTAGGGGAGGAAAAGGTAAATTATTTAAGTGATTTTGGGTTTTATCAGGTTTCATGCTTTTAAAGATAGCACTTTTTCCTTTTTTTTTTTTTTTTTTTCTTTTGGGGGTGCATGTGCTTTTTAATTCTCTTCCCTCCATCACCACAATTTCTCTTTTTCATGGAATGAACAGGCCTGAAGCAGAAATTGAAGATGACTGTAATCCTGACCCTAATCACACAGACCCCTGATTACACAGAAAAACTTCACAAAAATTAACTGGAGCATCCAGTGCTAATGAACCAGGTTAAACAGAGAGTATCTACACGCAGGACAACCACGCTGACTCCAATTACTGCCGCTGTCCTGATGCGAGGTGCCCAGGGCTGCCAATTCTCCTTTGGTTGCAATTCCCGGAGGTTTAATTTCCATCTGTGTGATATCTTTCCTCATAGCTCCTGCTGGACATGATTAGTAGCTTGCAAAGAAAAATTGAAGTGAAAGCAGTCAGAAATTTTAGGTGATTTGGCTCTACAATGCTTGAGAGTTCACGGATTTCACCTCAGCATTCCGGTTCATTTTAGAGGACTGAAAAGGTAAATTTTCATGTTCCTCTGAAATCGTCTGTAATTCTGCTCATCTATTACAATGTTTTGCAACTATTCTGTACGAAAAGCTTACATAAAACGGATGCCACAAGTGACGTACCCTTCCACAGCCCTCAAAAACTTCAAAAACCAAGCCGTGAATGACTGTTTCTGACAAATGGTTTAAGGGAAAGGAATGATTAGCACTAATGCTGGATCATGTGAACAGGGCACATGAGTGCCTGCCTACGATGCATCGTAATGAAACGAGCAATGAAATTGTTCACAATACTTCTTTTCTCTCTAAATCCTGTGTTGCAGAAGACATGAACTTCTCTGTAGCTTCCATAATAATATTTCTTCCCAAGCAGAGG